AGTTATTATTAGTTTGATAGTTATTGTGCTCCAAAAGGTATATATTAGTTGCCAACTGGAAGTAAACAGATAAAGATAAATTATAATTTTGTTAAATTTTACAGTGCAAAAGCTCTTGCACCTCTCTATCGCATTTCTGGTCAAAGCTATCAATAGCTTTCCCTCGGCAAAAATTTTTATCAACTACATATTGACAAGTTTTTTTTTTTTTTTTTTTTTTTTTAAATGACTATAAAGTTCGGCGCTTAAAATTAAATCACCCATATCGAGTGTTGTCATCGCTATTAAAGTGAGCATATATTATAATCATTCGAGTCATTGAATAGTCTTTAATGAGATAAATGTAGGTTCAAAATGCATGCGAATAGCTTTTGTATAAAAAGCATGTCAAAAGTAATAGACTGATGATGAAAAAAACCATTTTAATTGTACATAAGTAAAATTAAACTGATACTAAACCAATTCTTTATTCATACAAACAAGAAAATTGTATGTCTTCAATCCTCGATCGCTTAATAATGTTCTGTAACAGTAAATTTTTATGAATGAAATTACTTAAAACCATTTGTTAAATCTATAATTAAAGAACATGAATAATCGCGTGTCTAAAATTTTTCATAACAGTACTTATAACTCTCCATAATAAATAATATAAAATTATAATTCTCAACATAAAGTAGTAATTGTATTAATGGTTATATTATCAACAAAGTTATTAAGTATCCGTATTACGAAAATTTGTAATTAAAATTTATTATTCTTAATAAGTATTTTGAAATGGTATAGATTATAAAAGAATAAATAAACTCGACAATTAACAATTATTTTTTCAATTTACAAATATTTAAAAACATCAATGCAAAATCATCAGTGCACTGTAAAAAGTGTTGAAAATTTGTCATAAAATAAAAGGATTTTGTTCGTTAGGTTGCATTATATTATTGAAAATGAGTTTTTGCATACAATTGATCTCTATTATAAATATGCAATTATCTGATATAACTATTGAACGGTTTAAATCGAAAATTAAAAATATAATTAATCAATGAAAACCTGTACTTTTATAATTAATACAATATTCTCGTTTTACTAATATTGTTGTTTATAAAGTTTTTTTGCTTTCATAAAGCAGTAAGTAGCTTTATGAATAATAAAGTAACATAGTTCTTGTAAGGGAACAAGTCGATTTGTCAAATGTTAAAAGAACTATGATTAATTGGATTTCTCGCGAGAGTGTCAAGTTTAACGTGACCTTACATATTTGTATAAAAATAAAAATGGTATTAGCAAAAAATCCATAATAGACTTTAAATTAAGAAATGCCAGAGATCGATATATATATATATATATATGGAGAGGATTTTAAATCTATAATACACGTTTTCAAGAAATTTAATAACGTTAATAGTAATTTATTGAAACTGTAGGTAAAAAAAAAAAAAAAAAAAACAGTTAAAAATGAGGAAAAATAACAAATTTTGTCATCAAGTCTTTTTACAATAATTATAAATAGAGAAGAAATTCTTGAACAAATTACGTAAATAAATAATATTGTGAAAAATTCGTTTTAAATTCCTTCCAAATGCTTTTTTAAACTTGAATAGCATTGTTATGATCAGAATTGTTATGTGTACAAAATATCGATAGACACGGTGAATTTTCATATTAAAACGTGCTTGAATATCCTTCACGTGTATAAAAAAATCCACATTAACCGCGAGCTTACGCAAGCAGTTTTCGTTTTAATAAATATTTTTCTTGTATCTATTATTACATGGCTAATTATAACTCGGCAATCCCGTTCAATTCAATTAATTAGCACGTATCGTCCTGCAATATTAGCGCTAATAAAATGGGAAGAGACTAAAAGCGCGTGTGCGCTCAAATCGATTTAGCGAATTAGAGAAGCGCCGTGTACGACGATTCTTATGGAGTATTAACAACTGCGTCAATGTATGATAGTATAAGTGTATTAAGCCACACGGTGAGTCACATATCGACTTTCTTGTCTCGTCACGCCTCACGCACTAGGCGAAATAAAGCCGGCATGTCCGCAAATTTGCAATTTTTCCAATTGTTCCTACCTACGCACACTAATACAATGCGTGTATGCCCACATGCTAAGCCCCATAGATGTTGACATTGCTTGCGAAGCGTGAACTTGACATTGCCTCTTTAAAGGACCCGGCTAGCTTCGGAAAATTGTGTAAATTAGTAAAACAAAAGTATGTAAGCATTATTACAAGTTAACAAAATTAATGCGAATTTTCAAAGACATTTTTTCATTATTTTACCTCGTGAGCCAAAGCATAGTGGGCTTAAGTGCGGATAGACGCATTGGCTGGCGCCAAAAGTGAGAAGGAAGAATGGCGAGACAGTAAACTATAGATACATAAAGTAAGGCGAGAGCTCGCTCGTGTGAGTTGGAACGGAACGTGTAAGAAATAAAGAGAGAGAGAGAGAGAGAGAGAGAGAGAGAGAGAGAGAGAGAGATAGAGAGAGAGAGAGAGAGAGAGATAGAGAGAGAGAGAGAGAGTAATAACAAGAAAAGGGGTGTGGGTGAGGGTGGATAAAGCGAAGGGGATGATTCAACTTGAACGGTGAATCACCCTCTTAGGGTTAGATCATCGTCACAGAAAATGCACCTGTGTGCATGTAGAGATCTACGAGATATCGCACATGACATTTTCATGTAACGTTTATCAACCGACCCTTTTTTCTTCAATCACGACCTTTCGTACTTATGCCCTACAGTTTAATAAGGGTTGCGCATTTCCAGGGAGGGAAAGTCGTTTCTCATACCTCCAGCACACTTTTCTTTGCGAGCACTTTCTCAAAGATGCTCAAAGATGCTCAAGCCATTGCCGCATTGGTAGAGGGATAAAGTCAATAGGAGTAAGAACAAAGAGTTGGACGAATCGGCAAAAGTACTGGTAATTCGAATGTCTAGGAATAGTTATTTAACTAAGCATTAAATTACAAAGTCGGTATTCGAATCAATATAATGTACTTTCATCTTTTTTATTTGAATTTAAATAATCGAATGATGGAATAAAATAATTTATATAATATTTTTTCTATTTTTATACAGTCTCGATATAGTGGTTACTATCGATTTTCTAAATTTACATAAATAAGTAAACATTAATTATTATTTTAAGCTACATATACGTAATACAATTACTTTTCTAACATTCAGTATTAATGGTCATGTAATCAGTTATCAATCTATCTATTTATCTATATATATATATATATATGTAATGATTATTGAAAGATTCAAATTCCTCACAATACTTACTGTTTATAGAATAAATAACAATATTTAATTTAAGAAAAAAAATTTCAAATTATAATTTTAAATATCAGTGTCGAAAAACATAATATATAAATTTATATACACTAACAATATCACCAACATTAATAGAATCATTATTACATCGTTAAAATATTAAATTAAATAGTTACTTATTGTTTATATTAAGATTGCGAATTTATAATATTGCCATTTATAATATAAATTTATATTAAAAATAATATATAAAATACCATGGTACTCTATTTTATTAGATACTATACATTTATTTAACATTATATATAAACATTTATTATAACTTTCAATTCATTGATAATCTTTACTTTAAAATTGAATTTTTGTGTTCCATTTTATAGATATGGTATGAAAAATAATTAATGCAAGTTTTTTTTAAGCCAAATATAGAATGAAAAATAATTAAATTATACGTTCAATCTTCATTGTCCATATATAGTGAAGTAATTGCTAATTAAATGCCATAAAATATTTAATGATGATTTAATAATGAAATAATAATTTTATCATGTTTCTATAAATTTAACAGCAATAGATAAATAATTATTACGTAAAACATTATTTTTAGAACAATGTATTGTTATTATTTAAATATTATTCTTCCATGCGTTAGGTAGAGATTTAAAAATGATTGTTGCAAAACAACATAATTGTAACCCAACAATTACTGTACAATACTTCGTTATAATAGCTCAATCCAATATATCGAATAATTATTTATGGTTATTAAAATTAATTAATCTCCTAAGTAATATAGTATTTAAATTGCAAACAACCGACAACAAATTTACCCAACCTTGTAAAAAAATGTATACAAATAATACATTAATGATTTAGTAGGAATCATTTCGTTTCAGTATTTCAAAAATATAAATAAAAAACCAAACCAAAAAGAACAAAAAACAAAAACAGAAGTAAAAAGTTACTTGTTAAATGTAGAGGAGAATTCTCGAGGAATAGTATCCAAATTGACGAAATAATGATCTAGACTACGTAATAATAAATACTTGGAAGCATTGGTTTTCTTTTCTCAAAAGATGCTCGATCGAATCAACCAAGAGGATACCTAATGAATATAGTACAGTACACAGTGTAGGTCTAAAGAGAGAGAGAGAGAGAGAGAGAGATTCGCAGCCTACCGTCAATTTATGTCCTTCTCGCACGCAATCTTCCGCATACGGCATGTGCGCGTACATTGGTGTGCGTTGCACGAGTCGTCAGAATTCGTATATGCACGTGAAACACAGCTATGCTCGGCGAAACGTCTCTCGTGGGACAGAGAGAGACGGAGGGAAAGGCGATCGAACAGTTGGCAACGCTGTGCCCCGTCGGCCGTTGCTCGACTCGGCGGCATTCACGCACACATACCCAGGCGATTGCGCGCGCGCACGTGCATACGAAGCGTCGGTGCTCCATGATGAAGAAGGAAGGCGAACAACAAAAAGAACGAGAGTCGCGGGAACGAACGACGGTGCGTGAGATGGAGAGAGAGGGCCCGAGGCGGTAGCCGTGGTTGAGAGACGAGGAACAAGCGGTTCTGCGCGCGCGGGCGCGAAATTCGAAAGCGGTGGGGTCGCGCGACGGCCAATGGGAGGCTGGCGTTTCTACTTCTCCCTTCGCCCCACTTCGAACGACTGCGGGCTTGAAAATCTCTAACGGACGCGACGACCGGCGCACATTCGTCTCCTGGCTCTCGTGACGCGTGGATTCGATTGAGTACGAGAGATCGTCCAGCCGAGGTCGCAGCCAAGTAGTAGCAGCAGCAGCAGCAGCACGCTTTTTTAATTTATTAAAAGGGAACGCGAAGTTAAGGACACAGTAGCCATGAGGGAAATCGTGCACATCCAGGCTGGTCAGTGCGGTAACCAAATTGGAGCCAAGGTGAGTGTGATCCTAAGGCTGTGTCGGCCCGTCCCTACGCTGCCACCGCTGCCCATCAATGTGTATATTATCCGCTCGCGCGCTCTGCGTGTTTGCCTGCTGCTGATGCGCGCGTGCGCGCGCGCTACGGGATAACGGCCAAATTCTTTTGCGAGAGACACTCGCTCGTTCGTCGCGCGCCGCGAATCCCTGGAATGTCGGGGGCCCGTTCCACTTTTTTCCTCCCCAAACGGCTCGTCCACCACCTTTCGCCGGTCTCGGCCGACTTCGCGCGAAACTCGCCTCCTCTCCCTTTCTATCCTCTTTGTTTCTGAATGCGTGTGAGATGAGCGCGCGTCCGTCCCCCGAAGTCAGCCTGAAAAACCGTTATAACATCTCGCCACTTTGAGCCCTGTCACTTCCGTGTCCCTCGACCGCGGGAAATTTCGCGAAAAATCCCGCGACCTATCGAGTGCCTCGTTATATCGACGTGGAAGTTCGAGCGACTAATTTGTGATACCCGGTGTCGCCATAGGCGAGCGCTCTTTTTTTTTTTTTATTTTTTTTATTTTTTTTTTTATTCGCATCCTCCCCCACATTCGTCAATTCGTACGACGCTCGGTCGGACAAAAGGGAAAAAAACCGTTGGTGAATATCGGCCAACCGTAGTCGCGCTTTGTAAATCCCTCGGCACACGGCGGTGGTGGGGCGCGGTTGTCGCTGTGGTGGGGCCCGCGGGTGCGAGAAAGATGGAGAGAAAGAGATAGATAGATAGAGATAGATAGTATAGATAGATAGATGTATGTTACGGGGCATATTGTGCTAAAGCAATCGTTGCTTACTCAAAGGAAAGAGGACGAGGCGTTGGGAAAATGGCAGTTACGGCGTTCGGCGAGCGAAAAGTTAGGCGCTGCTGCTCGCGTTCGGCATGGCGACAATGGCACCGAGTTGTTTCGTGCGCGCGCGCACTGGCCTGCCGTAAGCCGTTGACGAAGGCGGATAAATATCGAGAGAATGAAAAAAGAAAGAAAGGAAGGAAAGAAGCAGAAGCAGCAGCAGCAGCAGCAGCAGCAGCAGCAGCAGCAGCAGCAGCAGCAGCAGTAGCAGTAGCAGCTCTCTTGCTTACCGAGTACCGGCCGGCCGGCGAGAATCACAACGGTTTTTCTCGTTTCTTGCAAACGTCTCGTTCTCTCTCGCTCTATCCATATACATAATATAAATATATATATATATATATATATATATATATATACATGGCATGCGTATGCGCATATGTATCCTATGTTCTACCTTGTTATTGCTAACTACTCTCTCTGCTTGCGTTGATTTCAATAGAGAGAATTGAGAAAATAAGTTTCCCTCGCTCATAAATTAAGGTGGTCGAGTGGGCGGGAAGATGTATCTTGACAATGCTCGAGCTCTTTCTTGCCCTCAACGTCGTTAGCAACACCTCACTCACTCCTTCGCGTTCGAGTCGCCATTTTTTTGCGCTGTCTGTCACGTTTGCCGGCGCGGAATTTCCCCGCCGACGGCGTCTGATCGATACCCCTAGCGTCGATGTCAGTCAAGTCCTTTTAGCAAAATAGCGACGTCTATGGTAAAGTCCCTCGAGCCTTCTGGATGCGCGCACGTATTGGAAAAGGGTGTGGCATTGGCGCGGCGGATCTTTCTCTCTCTTTCTCACTCTTTCTCTCTCTTTCGTGCTCAGACAGCGGTGGGCATAGGTTGTTCGAAGTTAAGCGTGAAGGACATGTTGGGAGCGTTAAGAACGTCGACGGCCGCGGCGTCGTTGATGCAGCAACATCGAGCGGCTGCGCGCGCAGCTGCTCCCCTCCAACGCCCTCCTATCGCCAATATCACTCTCTCTCTCTCTGTTCTGTACTTACTCCACTCACTTGACATTAGCCGACCGCGCACGAGTTCACATCTGTAATTCGCTCTTTTTTCTGTTTTTGAACGACTTTGTGTCGGTAGGGTTATATGCGCTGCATTGCGCGCTCTCCTTTCTACCACTGGAATTTTTCCTCTCTCTCTCTCTCTCTCTCTCTCTCTCTCTCTCTATCTATCTATCTATCTCTCTCTCTCTCTCTCTATCTATCTCTCTCCCTCGCTCTCGTTCTCATCTGTTTCGGCATTATAGTGGCGCTCCTTGTCCCTCTTGTTTTTCTTCCTTTTCTTTTCCTCTAACGCGCCTGATCGCCTGTACCGAAGCTCTCATTGAACTCTTGCCTTGGCAATAATTTGTATCGCTTCACCTGGTTCTTTTTAATCCCTCTTCTTTCATTTTAAAGAAAGGAGATATGCCATTTGTTTTCAATTCGTTAGCGGTAACCAATTTTAGCTGCTATCGTCGTTGAATTTTTTTCGACCTCGCTTAAAGTGTCGTCTTTCTTTCCTTTTGTATACAAGGCGATAGCGCACCTCTAAGATTTTTTCCTTCAGTTATTAAGGATAGATAGAGTAACTCTGATATATAGAGAAGTAGATTGGCGCCTCTATTCCTAAAATTATATCAATTGTTTTTTTTTGCTTTGCACTTTCATATTATTAGTTGTATTGTATGTCGCCGTCATAAATATTTTACTTTCAAACGACCTAATAATTTATACATTTTTATGTATAGACGAGCAACTTCACCTTGATTAATAGTAGGGCACCCAAGGTTCGCCTAACTTGTGAATTCTACCTTGGCGACGTGTTTCAGTTTTTTCTTTTGAATTTTACGCCAGTACATTAGCAAAGCAGTTTACACAATTAATGTATTATTTCTATTATTAATAGGTAGGAATTTTCAAGGTTGTTTTTGAATTATTGTATCGTATTTCAATAGCACGCCAAACGTCAGCATACGTGGATCATTTGATTTCAAATAAATAAACATATTAGTTATATACCATGAAATTAGCGATATTTAATAGAACAATAACGAAAAATAACGTAAAAAAAAAAATTCAATTTTCTAGGTATTATTTTAATATTGAAATACTACACTATTATGGTGTCAACAATGCTATGTTTATCTCATACTACAATTTACATTCATTGTGTGGTCTGAGAAAACTTCGATGGCAACCTCCTTTTGATAAAAAATTAATTATTAAACCAATTATGAGTTTGTTAATTGAGACGATTAAAAAAAATAAAATAAAAGGCCTGTGTTGTTTCAATGTTGTTTTTAAGATCGTATGTCAGTGTCAAGGTTATCGTTCAAATTAAAGAAAAAGTATTCTTACGTTGGAATAGTTTTAAATTAGAGAAGTTAAAGTATTTTTTATTAAAAATGACACGGTAAGTACGCTTAGATAATTAAGTAATTTGAATTCAATAAAATTAATAAAATCATGCTATTCACGAATAATAATAATTTAGACTCTTGAAGAGAATACAAATTTTAAAATAATAAGTTGATAATTTCTCTTAATAACGTATTTTCAAGTTTAATATTTTTAGTTTTGGGAATTTAATTTATATGTAAGATTATTAAAACGCGGATGTCTGGTATAAGGCTTTGTACGAGATTCAAGCGTACCACAGTGTAATTCATGTTAGTCTCAGCTGCGATTGGGAGTGGGGGTGGGGAGACAGGTAGAACGAGGTTTCGCGTACTCGAGATGGCAAGGACCAGGTCCTGCAGGCCATTGTCGCCAAGACGAGGGTTTGGTGGTTTGGCGGGGGTACCGCCGTGATTTCCATGGGAAGCGGAGACCGGAGATACTCCGCGCGCCAGCTCAGCGTCCATGCACGACCGTTAAAAAGATGAAGTAACCTCGCGTATCGTCGCGCTCCCGCGGTTTTCAAGGATATTGCATCGAGTCAATGTCCGTTGGTGCGGTGCGCCCTCGGTCGGGTCTCTTCCTCTCCTTCCTGTACTTCCTTCTGCTGGCGAGCACTCGCTCCGCGGTGGCTTCCTTCCCTCCGTGAGTCGTCACTCCCCCCCCCCCCACCCCGATCCGTCTCTTTCCTCTCCAGTTTTAATTAATCGAGTCGGGAGGATGTGGCGGTGGATACCGGAAGGAGGAGACTGCTGCTTGCGCCAGCCTGCCATTCCTACTGTAGAAAGGTGGTGGCATTAGACTCGACAGCCCCCCATCACCCCTTCCCGCGGTCTCTTTCTCGACACTTCCAGTTCATCCAGCATTTATTCGAGGAATCTGGTTAATTCGCGTATCAGAGTTCGTGTTGTCATTTGCCATCTGTTTTCCCCCAAAAAGAATAATGCGAAGTAAAAATTGCATCCAAAAGGATTGTGACGCACGCGCGGAACTCATGCCGCTTCCAACGTATCTTAAAGTTAGCACACGAGGCTTCATTTACCTTTGAATTTATTGCTCAATGGGGAAGAAGGAAGGGGCGTGGAACCTCGTTCTTACGAGCGAATAGATATATCGAGCGGTATTGTTCGAGATGGTGCTGCACGAGGTAAAATGAACAAGATACGTGGGCTGTCGGTGTGGTGTACATGGGGGAAAGCTAGGGAGATGAGTGGAACGGAAATGTACTTATTCTCAATCCTAGCGGCCATCTTTTTGCTCGAGCAGCGGCCCTTCACTCGGCAATAAATAAATTGAAAAGGCCAACCTTTAGTTACGCGAACATTATCCAGAACTTTGTACTAAACATAGCCGGCATCGTCGTGTAAAAATGTTTCCTCCATACAACATACTCGTTTTCCGCCTTCGTCTGGCCTTCGAACGCGCTTGCGCCTGCTCCCTCCTACATGTATAATTCCAATACAATCTTTTCGATAAATTTTCTCCACTACGCTCAACTGGTAATGGAAGGGCCTCAGTAAAGTCCCTTCAATCTCACGATCGATCGGTATGTTTACGATGCCCGGTAAAAAGAAAAAAAGGCCAGGCTCTTCATACATTATTCTCTCGCATGCCGTAACAAGCCACGCGTCGAACCGAACTGCTCTGACAAAATAAAGAAGGAGGTGGCAAGTAAAAGGCAACGGATTTCTAATCTAGCCTGATGTCGTCGTCGTCGTCGTCGTCGTCGTCGTCGTCGTCGTCGTCGTC